GGACGGCGAGGGTGTGACGGCGTGTTCACCGCCCCACGCGGACGGGCACGCAGCTCAGGGAGCACAGGGGGACCCCCGGGGCCAGCGCCTGGGCTGGCCAGGTGCGCCGCAGATCCTGGGGGCCTTTAATTACAGCGGATACACAGGACGTCAGCGCGCGAATAAAAAGGAAGCCGAGGAGCAAGGACTGGGGTGGATAACAAGCACAGCAATCGGTAACCATGCCGATGAAGCAAAGGGTTGACCGTTTAGAAACAAAAGGCAACAAATTGAGGGTCCTTAAAATCCAGCCGGAACTGTCGGGCCCGAGCCCGCGCCAGGGGAGGGCGGCCGTGGGGGGCGGGCTTCTCTGTGCCGGGGAGGGGGCTCCCGGCTCGGGACCCGTGCACCGCCGCCCGCCACGGCCTCGGGTGTGTGGCCGACGCTGAGCGAGCACTGGCCGCCGCGGGATGGAGACCCCCGTGCCGAGCAGCTGCAAGGGGGGAAGGTGAGCCCTCGCCAGGCGGGTCTGCTGGGAGCAGAAGAAGCGGCACCACCAAGATCCCGGCAGAAGTCGCAGAATAAAATGCGGCAGTTTGTCCGTAAATACCGGGGACCGGCCGCACGTGGGCCACAGGGAAGAGTGCCACGGGGCAGCCTTCGCCCACGCGCTCCCGCGGGCAGAGACGAAGCGGCGGGGGCCGAGGGCGCGGCCGCCCCCCTCTCGCTCAGACGTGAGCTCGGCTCGCGCGAAGTGAGTCTGAGTGGCTTTGTGGATTTTTTGAGCGATCTGGAATGAGCCACCCGTAAACTTTCCTCACAGCTTCTTCCAGGCAGCCGTGAGGAAATAACACAGCCGACTTAGAAGGAAGCGGGAGTCTTGCTGGGTTCCCGTAAGCGGGGCTGGACACAGAGGCACCCCAGAGACCGACTGTGGGTTCCAGGAAGGATAAGTTCAGGAGGCTGTGACCCCACAGCGTCCGCCCGGGGCTGGCCCTGCGGGGCCGGTGCTGCCTTCCTGCGTTGCCGCCCAGGTGACCTTCCCAACAGCCAGCCTGCCGTGGAGCCGTTCTCCACGGAGACATCTCTGTCCACAGCTTTTGTGGGTGCCACGCAGTAGTCTCGTCTCCGGGCACGGGAGCGTGGCGTGAGGGAAGCAGGGACCCAGCGGAAGGCGGGCCCTGTGTGCTCCCCGGTGCTTTCACGCCATCTTTTGCAAGGAGGAGGCTCTGTCCACGGCCGTGCAGAGCGGAGCACACCCGTCTCAGCAGGCCACCGTGCGCGCTCTGCACCCGAGCCACGCCTGTGCGTCTTCGGCCGGCCGCGTGCCGCTCTAAGTCCGTTGCCTGATAGAAGGGTGGCCGTGTCCTTGCAGGCTTTTGAAACAAATTAACGGCCGGGGCTTCAGTTCCGTCCTGTCTGGAATTTCCTCTCGGCTGGCGTGCGGCAGGATACCAGAGCGCCCACCTGCTCCCGGCGTGCCCAGTTATTAAACGACTTCCGCTCTGTGCCTCAGTTTCCCCGGGCCCACCCCGGCCGGCAGCCATGAGAGCGCGTGGACGGGGTGCCCAGCCGCTGCCCCGAGCCCTGGCTGCCCAGGTGCCCAGCTCGCCCCCGCGCGGCCGTGTCCCGTTCGCAGTTTGCCGGCTGCACTACGCCTGGGAAATCGCCTCGCCTTACTGAGCGCCCCTGTCGCCCCGGGGAGCTGCCAGGACACGCGGGGAGCTGCCAGGACACGCGGGGAGTAGCCAGCGAGGCGGTGGCCCGCGCTGGCAGCCCCAGGCCTGCTGTGCAGGGGGCGGCCCCACCCCAGTCCAGCCACGTCCTGCGGGGTGGTGGGCGGGCGCCTGTGGAGCTCCCGTCCCGAGCGCAGCGAGGACCCCGGGCTGACGTGCCTTTTCATGTAAGCAGGACCCCGGGTCTTTCATTTGGGCCGTGACTGTTCTCTTGATTACATTTCCATCGCCATAAAATGCCTTGAGAGTTTTCTGTCCACGTATTTGGACTTACTTTTTTTTTTTAACTTGAGGTCACTGGTTTACAATACCAGATATGATTTAGAGGTGCAGGGTGGCACCCTGCAGGGTAGACCTGCCTGCCACGCCACCTCCAGGGCACCCAGGCCTCCAGAGCCGCTGGGCACCCCCACGCTGTGCTGTCAGCCCCCCTCACTCCTTTAGGCCTTGAAATGCTTGTTTTTCCACTTTCCCACTGGGATCCACGTCTGGCCTCTCGCTGGCCAGTAGGCCCGGGCCGCAGTGGGGAGGAGACTGCTCTGGTCTGCCCTTGTCCCATGGGGTTTCCTGGGGCTCCCTGAGTCCCAGCAAGTGTGCACTTTTCATTTATTTCCCCCCAAAAGAGGAAACGGCCGGCCTTCCTCATCCCGGCCCGGCCTAATCCCCGTGGCTGAGCCAATCGCCCACCACACGAATGAGGGACGGGCCCTGGACGCTGGAGAGGAGAGGCCTCGGTGGGCCCTTCCCGGAAGCCCCTCTCCCTGCGGATCCAGCCTCTCCCTCCCTCGGAGAGGGGCCTCACCCTTGGCACATGGCGCTTGGGCATCTGCTGGCCGGCCACGACAGCTCTCCTGCCGCGGTTTCCCCACCACACCACGGGAACCTCTCCCTGCGCTCCCGCACACACACGCTCGGCGCTCCCAGCAGGCCCGCTGGGCTCTGTTCCTAGGAAGCGCTGTCCTTGGTTCCGGACAGGCTGGGGGCCCAGCCTGGCCCAGCACCTGCCCGAGCCCCGCCGCAGTCCCTCTGTGGCGGTTGGGTACTGACCCGCGCCCCAGACCGTGCAAGGACGCACTTGCTCCTCGGGGATGCCATGGCTCTGGGCCTTTCCTGCTGGCGGAGGGCAGCATGGAGCCGTCGGGACTGTGTCACCTGCAGCCACTGCGGCCATCACAGACACCGACTGCAGCTGGGAAGCGGCAGGTGGCCTCACAGCTGCAGTCACAGTCCGGGAGAAACAGGACTTCGCTCTGACAGAAGCCCAGCTGCAGCCTGGGGCCCGTGCACCTGGCTGGGCCAGCCCCGGCGACCTGAGCAAGGCGAGGCTCTGTGGGTCGGCAGGGTCATGGCGCAGGCGTCGTCCTGGAGAGGGGGCTCTCCTGTGCAGCCCGAGGAGCAGGGAACCCCGCGGCAGCCACGCCCGTGGCGCCCCGAGCCCACTGCTCACCTGCACTCAGTGCTGGAGACCGCACGCACGCACACACGTGTGCACACCCTGCACGCTCACAGCCTCTCACGCACACCCGCCCGCACGCACGCGCTTACAATTCGTTGTTTTTCAGAGCAGTGTTGGGTTTATGGGGAAGGTGGTCTGGACTTGCCGGACCGCACAGCCAGGCCCCCTGCTGGGAGCACCCTGGCGTCTGCGCCCCGTCCGCTCTGGTCACCGAGTCCCTCTGCTGAAGTTCGCGCTTGGCCCCCGCCCCTCGTCGCGCCAGCTCCCATCACTCCCTGTCGCTCTGCAGGGCATCCTCGTCTGAACTCAAGGTCACGCTTCTCCCTCTCTAGGTGTGGGTGGGTGACCGTCCCCTGCAGCTCAGGGTCACCAGGTCACACGGTGCTGGAAGTCGGGCCTCCAGGGGAGGATGTTCTGTCCGGCGTCTGGTGGGGCGACAGGCTGCGGCCAGGGGCTCCCTGGGGCTCGCCAGGGCCTCTGTGTCTGCCAGCGGCCCAGGGCTGGAGAGGTCAGAGAGCCCTCGTGGAGCGGGCATGCCGTACAAGCAAGGTCTTGCTGTCACAAAGCCCCTTGGGGCAGGGGAGGTGTACGGCTTCCTGTCTGCCCTGCGCAGGAGTCACACCTCAGTTCCCACGGGACCCCTGGGGCGCGGGTGCTCGGGGCGCCAAGCTTTGCAGCCAGGTTGGGAGCTGACTGTGCTTTTTAAATTATTTGAAAAAATTGATTCCAAAGACGACGCATAATGAACATTTACGCCCGGCTGTAATCTGCCACTGTTAAGGGTGTGTTTGACATTTCCACTCGTTTCTAGAAGAATTCTGAGAGAACAGGCCTCTAGAAAGGGGTGTCAGGTTGGTGGGGAGTTGGTGGGGAGCGGGCCGGCCCCCGCGCTTCCAGGCTCACGCTCGGTGGCATCGCTTTGCTCGGTGGTGCCCAAGGAGGTCAGGGCAGCCTCCCCGGGCCGATTTCTGTGTCCTCGCTGCCTGCGCACATCCTGGCGGCGGGCAGAGATGGGGCCGCTCCCCTCTGCCTGCCCCCGTCTGGAGCAGAGGCGTCAGCGGGAGCCTGGGCTCGGCTTTGGGCCGCTGCCGGCCGAAGCCTCTCGCGGACAGAGGCCGCGAGTGAGTCTGGGTTTCCCACGTAGAGCTCGTCCACCCTGACATCTCCAGTCCGGCCCACCGCCCCGGGGCTCTGGCTCCCACCTCTCCCCTGTGGCGACGCCCTCTCACCACGCTAGCACTCCGCCTAGTTGGCGAACCCCAGTGTTCCCAGCCCCCCCAAAGAAGCTGCCCCCCGCAGATGCCTTGTTCCCCCCCAACCCCTGCACCCCAACCCCGTCCTGACAGGCCTCCCAGGGGAGCTCCCCCTTGCAGACCCTGCTGGCTTTAGGGCGGAGCTGTTTGTTGAAGAGGGTGGGGACGGAGGCCCCTTTTGCAAGGGGAACCCCAGCTGACTTTCCGGCAATCTGGGAGGCCTCTCCCCACCCCGGCCCCGGCCCCGGCCCCGCCCGCCGGAGCTTCCCTTTCACAGTGTCAGAGCTCCGGCCTACCTGGTATTTGAGGAACCCAGAGGCGGCCTCCAGTTTCTCGAGAAACTGAGTCAGCAATTTTTGGAGGCTCCTAGACATCCGAGAATACTTTCAGCTCTATGGAGTGGTCGCCTGACCATTTCAGTTCTTTTTTTCTCAAGTACCCAAACATGGGCACTCCCAAGGTAAAACCCACGGCTCCAGGATCGCCGGGGCGCAGCGGCATGAGCGGGGGCCGCAGCGTGCTCCTGTCTGGCCCCCGCAACCTTCTCCCGCGCTCTTGGGGCGCTACGGCCAAGCGGTGGGACCCCGAGAGGCCCGGGCTAGACCTCCCCCCCAGCACAATAGCAAGAGCAAAAGCGAAGTGGGCATCTGTGGCTCGGCCTGCAGCAGCACAAGACTGAAAGCACCTTATGAGTCAGGACCCACCCGCAGCCGCCCCAGCTTCCCCCAGCCCCGGGGATGCACGGCCTTGTCGGGGCTCCGGGTCTCAGGAGCCAGGCGAGAAGGGAAAGCAAGGCCAGCACCGGCGGGGGTTTGTGGGGAGCGGGGGGGTGCACCTGGCGCCCTTCGCACCCGCCGGCTTCCCCTGTGCGACTGCAGAAGCACCGGGGTGTCAGCTGAGCCACCCCGGCCACGGTGCCTCTGCCTCACCTCCCGTCTCTGGGTGTCCTCGTGCAGAACACGTACACCAACGCGGATAAGCTGCTAGAAGCAGCGGAACAGCTGGCCCAGACCGGGGAGTGTGACCCAGAAGAGATCTATCAGGCCGCCCATCAGCTCGAAGACCGGATACAGGACTTCGTGCGGCGGGTCGAGCAGCGGAAGATCCTGCTGGACATGTCGGTGTCCTTCCACACCCACGTGAAGGAGGTAAGACTGCGTGTCCTGGCTCCCCGGGTGCCTGGGAGGGCCTGGGGTGGGGGTGGCGGTGCTGCTGGCCGCTGGGGGCACCGTGCAGGGTCCCCGCTGGACCCGTTGCTGACCCTCCCTGCTGCACCAACGGGCCCGGAAGCCTGTGTGTGTCCGGGGCGACGGGTGGGGGAGGTGGCGCAGGGGAGGGGCACGGAGGGGGAGGGAAAGAGCAGACAGACAGCACGCCCAGCTTCGAGTCCGGGGCGGCCTGCGGCTGACATGCCCGGCGAGGTCAGGCTGCTGGGTTCCCGGATGTGGGAGCCGGTCATGCGCCTGCTGACCGGACCTGACTGCGTGAGCCTCGCAGATAGGAGCCAGAGTGCGCTTCAGACAACTCTGAATTCGAAGGCAGCAGAGCTGACGTGACCGTCCTAACCGTGATGCTGACGTCAGAGGCGTGCGCTGGCTCGGAACTTGACCATGACGGGAGCTAATGTGTTTTCCGACTCGTGGACGGTAGACTAGTGCTAATTCTACGTTGCACGTGTATTATTATTCTTAGTAGAAATCATTGAAAATTACACTCAAGCAAGTTCAGCGGGGAGGGGAGGGATCAGAGCAGGGGAGACTGGTGACGTTCTTGGTGGCTTGGCGGTGGGAATTCTAGGGGCTCACACCTGAGAGGAGCAACCGTGTAAAACGTACCCATCTAAGTTTAAAAAAAGAATAAGAGCAAATCACATTCAAGAAACTTTTTGGTAGCTCTTGAAAGATAGAAAGCATTTCTTATAAAAGCGCATGTTTTCAGCAGGACCACAGCTGAGGTAAAGAGTCAGTTACTGCCAGAGGTCTAAGGAAAAACCCTTCCTCACAATGAAGTCAGAGGTGGGGAGCCCTGCGAGTGGGGAGATTCGGCGCCGGGCGCCCCAGGATCCAGCCAGGGGCAGGCCGGGGCTCCCGGTGGGGCTGCCTTGTGAGACGCGCCAGCCTGCAGGCCCAGCCCGGGCGAGGGGAGGCCCCTCCCCAACAGTGCTGCAGGGGCCCACATTCCTGCCCTCCCCTGCACCCTAGAATCGAGAGCCCGTGAGGAGTGTGGGGCACAGGTGCTGGCACCACGGACCTTGTGCCCAGCCCCGCCCCGGCCCCTCCGCAAAGGCCGGTGCCCGGGCCCAGGGCGTCAGAGGAGTCACACAGGAGTCACGCAGGGCCGCTCCGCGGGCCCCTCTCTGCGGCAGCTTCTGGGGGGCGCATGAGTGAGCGCAGCCCCCGGGCTCCCTGCCCCGCAGCCCCGCCCTGCCTCACACAGCCCTGCCTCCAGGACGGTTTTTCTGAAATATCAAAAAGATTAGGTTGTAATCTGCTTTTGAATCTTGGGCCTGGGGGGGTCCAGCCTGACCCCTCAGCATCCTTGAAACCTGATCCACCTTGTTCTGCCCCCCAGCACAGTGACACCTGGGATGCGGGTCCCTTCCCTTCACCTGGCTCGGCAGCCTGGGCTGGCTCCTCCTCCGCTTTCTAGAACTTTGTCCACACACGCCTGCCCCAGCACTGGCCTCAGAGTTGTGCTGCTCTTTTCCACCCGTGCTCCTCGGTGGCTTCCCTGCGCGCGCATCGGCGCACCCCAGCCTGGAGGGGGAGCCTGTGCGCAAAGGCAGGCCGTTCCGTGGTTGTCTGGAGCAGCCCTGCGGTCTAGGGCGCAAGGAGGGTTCAGGCTGCTGCTCCTGCGCTGGGCCCCGGGGGCCGCTGTGTCCCCCGATGGCCAGGCGCTGCTGGAGACGAGGCTGGACCAGGGGTGGGACCAGCACTGGCCAGGGTCCAGACAGAACTGCAGGGCGCGGGAGGCGGTTTGGACGCAGGCCTGGTGATAATCTTCAGCCGTGTCTGCAAAGATTTAAGATTGCTTTGGGGACAGAAAAGACTGCACGCAGCTGAATTTGTGGTCAAGGTCACCTTTTCAGTTTTGTTTTCATAAAGCCAACACTAGCGGGCAAGGGGAAGACAGGCATTTTGCAAAAGTGCTTCTCCAGACACTCAGCAGCATTCTTTTTTTTTTTTTTTCAAGATTTATTTATTTTTGCATACAGAACTGGGGTGCAGGCCAGAGGTGCAGGGGGTGAGAGGCTTCACCGGAGACAGAGCGGGGAGCAGAACAGGCAGATCGAGGAAGTCCACTGCTGAGAGGAGCAGCGCGTGGGTCAGGAGAGGTCTGACGCGCCATGTGGTCACCTCCGGGGCAGGCGGGGATCGAACTCATGCGGAAGCGGCTTTAGCTTCTCAGTGCTGTGCTTTAACCCGCTGCGCCCCCAGGGAGGGCCCTCGATAGCATTCTGAAGGAAAATCCCTGTCATGAAAGTCACGCGGCTCGGGGGCCACTTGGAAGGGAGATGCATTGTTCTCGTTGACTTGCACTGGGGGCTTGCGGGTGTGTGTGTGCGCGCACGCGTGTGTGGTCCATGTGCATCTGCGGGCTGGGGCGCCTTCGGTCTACTCCCAAGGTCAGAAGAGTCGCCCTGACAGCTGCAGCACTTTCAGGCGCTTGTCCTTTCCTTCCACGCGAGACGCCGCCGTGGCCTTGTCCCCCGATCGGTCCTTCCTGCACGTGTCTCCCTCAAGTGACCGGGAGTCCAGGGCAGACGTTGCCGGGGCATCCCGGGCGCCCACCGTGTGGACGGGTCGGGACTCTCAGGCTTCTTTTTCGTTCCCAGCCACATCTCTGCAGGTCCGTTTGTCCTGACGGGCCCCAGAATTTTCCCGCCGTCTTGCTCCGAGCTGCGCAAAGGCCCTGCGGCCGGCAGGGAGGCGCGGGAGGGTCCGAGCCGGCCCGAGTGGGCTCCTCAGCCACTGCGCTTTGCAACTGGCTGTGGCTTGAAAACTCAGATTCATTCAATACAGATTTAGTTAGTTTAAAGTCAAATTAAAAGTGAAAGAAGAGCCAAGAGGAGGAAATCACGCTAATTAAATGTGTTTGCATAAAGCCAAGTATTTTAATGTAGCTGAGGAGTGAAATATCGCTACAAGATTTATGTTATCCGAGTGCATCCCTTTCCAGGCGGCTCACACAGCTGAAAGCCGCCCAGTGGAGGCCGCAGAAGCAGCGGGTCTCTCGTGCAGGGGCCACTCCCCGCGGCTTGGAAGCCACCAGAGGCCCTTGCACCCGGGCTCCCGGGTGCCCGGCAGTGGTTTCCTTCCGGACTTCTATCTGGCGCAGAGCTCTGGCCCGCCCTGACTTGTGCAGTAAATTTCTGCCTCCCGTGAGCAAGTAACGCCAAGGTGATCTCAGCAACAGCTACGCCTAGGAAGCGGCCGGGTCTAGGTGGCGTCTGCTCGGAGTTAGCCCAGCACCCTCCCGCAGGGAGTTTGGGGGAGACCGCTCAGGCTCAGGAGAGGGGGCCTCCCCGCTCTCAGACGTCGCCCCCGGGCGAGCTGGCAGCACCTGTTCTGGCAAGGGGGCGAAGCAGAAGCCTGCATGCCCCCCCGCCCCGGCTCTGGGCTGGAGGAGGTAGCGACACAGGTGCGGGCCTGCACCCCAGGCTGCAGCCCAGATCTGGAAGCTCCTGCTCGCGTTCTTTTTTTTTTTTTTTCTTCCTCGAAAGAATCCCGACGATGCT